ATTACCTTTTCTGACTGATTGTGATTGGCAGCCTCATACATCAGAATAGGAGAAATTTTTTTTTGAAACATTTTAACTTCTGCATGAAAATTTTGCCATGCTCGTACTTTATTACATTGGATTATGTAAAAAGCATACTAGGATTAGCTGCCTGACAAGATGTGTTTATGAAGGACTTTCTAACATTACGCATGGGAAAAACCATGAAAATGCCTATCCAACTGAACCATTTGCTGAGATTTCAACCCCAATCAAACTACCAGTATTCGGTTGTGTTACCCCCTCAGCTGTTGGTTGGCATAGTTCAGGGATGGCGAACCTTTTTCGATTAGTATGCCAGTTAAATTATGGTTTATTATTTTCAGATCTTCAGTGTGCCACTTGTTATATTTCTTTTTAAAAACCATCTTTAAACTCCTGCTTTGATTTCAAACTATCGAACTGTATTTTGTGATTATATTTGAGGTTCAGTTATTAACTTGCTGTTTAGTTACTGTGTCCATGCTCATGCTTGCATCGGAATCTGCCTCTGATGGCACTAGTCTTAATTTTTTTAATGTAGTTTTCAGTGAGTGTAAGTAAATAAAACCAATTTAATATGTACTTGTTGCATGCCAGCTATAGGTTTGGCATACCTGGTGTAGTTTATTAATAAGCTAATTTCTATCGTGAAAATTCACCTTCAAATTTGCAAAATGTTACATGTTATTTACTAAAAATACAACGTTGATTAACTTCTGATAGTCATTATGCAATTTTTTCCTTTAATGCCAAGAAAGATCTTTGTTTCTTCAAGGAGTGTTTAGAATATCAATAATGTCATTAACCTAAGTAAATTTAATCTGTGAGTGAGCCTAAAACATGTTACAGAATTGATTGTAGGTGAAAGAAAACGAAAACCTCTCCTATTAAATGTTATATGATCTTAGATATAAAAAAACTTCCACTTGGTTATCTTGCTGACTGTTTCTGTGGTATTTGATGATGTTACTTAAACACTGGTTTCAGTCTGAGATTTACTAATCTATTACATTCTTACATAATGGCTTGGATTCAATCAGTTGTGATTCTGTAAAACTGCTCCTTTGGGAACAAATAAGTCTTGCGGTCTGGTTAATCTAAGCAATATTTTGATTTTTTAAAAATATTTTTTTGAATATTTTATCTCATCAAAATAAAATACAGTACAAAGTCCGTAATCCGGACTCGTCGGGATTTTGGCGATTAAGGGTTTTCCTGGATTATAGACCATCAATTTAAATCTGGTGAGACGGCATGCAGAAATTATACAATTAAAAATATGAAACCATAATTTATGAAATAAAAGAGCAATTACGATCTAAAGGGTATCAAAATTTACAAAAAGAAAAAGCTTAATATTTATTTGTTTACTTTATTAAACATTTCTTTCAATGTAAGTTGTTTAAGTTGCTTTGCATAAGCAGTAAACGCATTACGCGCATGCGTAAAGCATAAAAAAAAAAGTTTGTGGCGTTGAGGTCCGGATTATAGACCATTACAGATAATGGATGTCTGAATTACAGACTTTTTAGTGTATCAGATTCTAATTAAATGTTTTAGTTTTATAAAAAACAAAAAATGTGAATGATTCTGCGTGAAAAAGAAAACATTTTAAAATTTAGGGAAAAAAATTAATTTCCAAAATATCACAGAAACTGCATAAAATAACAAGCAAATTTAATTATCGAGGCCCATTTTCTGCCAGAAACTACTGCACATTTTCTTTCTTCTTTCATGTCAGTTGATCTTCTAGAAGTTTCTATGATCAAACAACAGTTTTTATGCAATGATCAAATTTTCAGAAAAGTAGGCATTTTCCAGAAGTTTTTAAAATTTTATATTATCTACAGCATGTTTGACAGAACTTATTCAAACCAGATCAGATCCCAGTTCTCGGAAAATATGATTATGACACACAAAAACATGTTGTCTTGGAAAAAATAAATGAGGAAAACAAAAATGGGCTGATAATTTATGTTAAATTTAACAAACGGCTTATACCATCTCCTTCAAGCTCATTGCTCTCCTCTACATTAAAACTTTTTGATTCTATTATGTTCCAAATAACATGTAAAATTGAAAAAGTATTTTATTTTTGTATGATACAAAGATATATACTATATAAAAATTTAATAGATATACATTAATTCACATACTTATTAATAAACAAATTACTGTTTTATATAATAAATCTGAATCAGGAAATCTTATTGATTTTGCCGATACCTGCTTTTAACATTTTCGATCTTTTGGATCACATAATTTCAGCCACATTATAGTTAGTCTGAATAAAAGATCTTTTAGGTATTCTCTGATTATCCACACTCCCACTGAAAACTCATAAACTCACAGACAACTTTTGACGGGAGATGTTTGAGAGTCTTAATGCCTATTAAAATGATACAGTGCAGCCTATTTTATTATATTCTCTTTATTAGTGCAGCCTATTTTATTATGTTCTTTTTTTTTTTTTCCAAATTAGGTATGCACACTTCCTTTTTTTTCCCCCTTTGGTGTTTTTCTCCCAATATGCACAATGATATTTTTTCACTAAAAAATCATGAGCAAACTTGACACCAAAATCCTAAAATGAAAAAGGAAAAAGAGCCATGTGGTGCTTTTCAGTGAATCACATTATACTGTATGTGTAGAAAGCTAAATCTCAGATTTTGCTGACAATGACGAAAATTCCAATATGCAGTCACCCACTATTCTAAGACACTGAAATTACCTGCAGTTAGCATTAGTAAAAATATCAAGAGTAATGGAAAGCTATTTGATGGAATGCTATACTCATACCTGGACTGACACATAAGTACTTTCTGGCAATATTGTGAGCTACCACATGATGAATACTTTTTGGCAACATTTTTTTTTTTTTTCCGACATAAATACTTTTTAGTGACGCAGTCAGCTCTACTCTTATATGCGCCCTAAGATCACCAAATGTGGCGATATGTATTCTGTGCTGGTTTTTGGCATGATTGCATGTTCTATGGCAACCCTTTTGAGGTTGAAAACTCTCTCATTGGTTCGTGTCGTGTGTGTTTTGAAATGGCCTATGTTGCAATGAGAGACGTGGTTGCAACAGATTATTTTTAGTGGCTGTGCATGATAGAAGTAACGAAACACTGATGCAGTGTATTAAAAAGTGGACTGAGCCTTGTAGAACTATTTTTTCAAATGGCTAGAAATCTTACAAGGATTTAGGGAAAGAAGGTTTTGAACATTTATTTGTGAACCATAGTACAGCCAAAAGTCGTTAATCCGGACTCGTCAGGACTTTGGCGATTCCAGATTATAGATCATCAGTTTAAATCTGGTAAGATGGCATGCAGAAATTATAAAATTAAAAATATGAAACTGTAATTTATGAAATAAAGAACAATTATGATCTAAAGGGTATCAAAATTTACAAAAAAAAAAAAAAAAAAAAAAAAAAAAAAAGCTTAATATTTATTTGTTTACTTTATTAAACATTTCTTTCAATGTAAGTTGTTTAAGTTGCTTCGTTTTTTATGTGATAATACTTTCCCTTTCATTCTATAAACAGATATAATTTCTTGTTCAGTTACAAAGTTCCGCTGTTCAAGTCCTATAATTGCTGTGTCGAGAATACCGACTAATTTGTCAATCGAAATTTTTTCGTTTTAAATAACCTCTGTGTCACTTTCTTCGCTATCGGAAGCAAATTATAATGACGAGGAATTTGTTTTAAATCATATCAAAGATGGAGTACATCGAGATGAAATACTACATTTAGTAAGGAATTATAAGCCAAATAAAATAAAAACATCTGCCCTGAAGATAAGGATAGTGCTGACAGATCAACTTCCAATTCGTTGCGCGCCGCAGAGCAGCGTGAAATTGATAAACAGATTTCGCAATGGTTAGAGAAACAAAGGATATGCCTTTATCCATTTTTTTGCAGCAATTCCACTTTTTGTTTGATGACATCGAAATATGCTTTCGCTTTGTAGATCCTTTAGCAGCTCCAGAATCGGAAATTCCTTTTGACATAATCGAAAGTTCAAGCTTACTTTTATAAAATTGCTTTAACAGTCTGCAAAAAATAATAAGCCGGATCCAATTCAAAGATTAAGGAACAATGCAATCTGCAACATTAACTGAATTAGATAATTTTAGCTTAGCTTATACTGTCCGTTATACATTAAATGTGCATTCGTAAACGTATTTTGCGCATGCGCACACGCATATTCGCAGCCGTAAAGGTCTTACGCGCATGTGCAGAAAGTTTGTAGCTTTGAGGTCCGGATTACAGATCATTCCGGCTTATGGATGTCCGAATTAACGACTTTTGACTGTATGAATTTTCTGGATAGTGTGTCTGGCTGTCATATAAATACAATAGTGATTACATGGCGGCATATTAAAGGCGGTATGAAATTGGTATTTCTGCTGTTCGAAAAAGTATTCATTCATGGTTAAGTGCATTTTATTTTATTCTTGTTCTTATTTTGTAGAATATTATGTTCATTGTTTTCTTAGTATAAATTTCTGTCGTTATTGTTTTTTTTTTTTTTTTTTTAATTGTTGGAAATTTATTTTAGTTATTTCAGTTTATTTTGTTGATTGGTGCATAGTGCCTAGATTGTGCAATTCGTAGATGTGTTTTAAAGTTGAAACAGAATGCTGTGTACATGGTATTCTTTGAAATTTATTAAAGCGAGGTGTGCATAGTTCGTAGATTCGTCCGTTGCCTAGATTGTGCAATTCGTAGATGATTTTTTAAAGTTTAAACAGGATGCTGTGTACATGGTTTTTTTTTTTTTTTTTTTTTTTAAATTTATTGCTGTTATGTTAATTTACTAAAGCGAGGTGTGCGCAGTTCGTAGATTCGTTCATTGCCTAGATTGTGCAATTCGTAGATCCTTTCTTAAGTTAAAACATATGGCTGTGTACATGGATTCTTGTCAAATATTTTTGGTTAGAAACTTCATGTTTTTGCTATCTAAATTTTTTGTTTTTGTTTCGGATTTTTAGCTTAAATTGCGTGTTCAAAACGTGTTTTTTGCATGTGCGAAAACTGCGTTTTTGAAGACATTTTAGGCTTAAAGTTTGAAATTTAGACAAAAAATTTATAGTAGTATGGCATAGAGTATAGTAGATAGTAATATGGCAGTGTGGAGTTTCTCGCCAAAAATGTTTGGCCAAAAAATTTGTCGCTGCATTGGCCGACCTGTGGGCGCATATAAGAGTAGTTCCACGCAATGCGTTGCCTCATCAATACAATTCGTGTATGTGGATAATCAGAAATTACCATCTTTTGTTACAGTTTCAATAAATTAATCTGGAATGAGCAAATCTTCTCCTGAGGTTGTGATATTCTCTTGCTGGAGATTCTGACCCATAGGCTGAGAAACCCTGTCATAAAACACTGACATTGTACCTGCACCACTATGGACAAGCATATGTCTTTTTAAATGACTATTGCTGGCAAATGACTTACTACATATATAACACTCATGATGCTTTTCACCAGTATGAGTAAGAATATGCCTATTTAAGCCACTCTTCTGTACAAATGACTTACCACATGTAACACATTTGTGTGGCTTTTCACCAGTATGAATAAGCATATGTGTATGCAAATGACCTTTTTGTGCAAATGTTTTGGTACATATATCACAACCATATGGAGTTTCACTTGCATGGATTAGCATATGTGTGCTTAAGGAACCTTTGCGTGTAAATGCTTTGGCACATACATCACATACATGCGACTTTTCAGCATTGTGGACAGGCATATGTCTTTTTAACTCTGTTTTGGTTGCGAAAGACTTACTACAGATAATACATTCATGCACTTTCTCACCTGTATGGATAAGCATGTGTGTGCTTAAGTGACCTTTCTGAGCAAACGACTTCTTGCATATATCACATTCATGAGGTTTCTCGCCAGTGTGAATAAGCTTGTGCCTGTTTAAGTGACTTATACGAGCAAATGTCTTGTTACATATAACACATTTGTAAGGTTTTTCACCAGTATGAATACGTATATGTTTGTTTAAATCTCCTTTATATGAAAATGATTTGTGACATATATAACATTCATGTGGTTTCTCAGACGTGTGGGTAAGTGCATGGTCTTTTAAATGATATTTCCGTGTAAATGATTTGGAACACACAGGACACATATGTTGCTGTAGATTAACTTTCGGCACAGTTAATACACAACTAGTATCAGACTGACATAGATTCTCACCTGCACTGGTATGCATTTGTCTCAGAGTTCTGTTATGTTCTAAGTTACTGTGGCATTTTTATGCATGTGCATGTTTTATGTGTCTTTATGCATTCATAACTCAGATTTCACATCACTGGGCAGTTTTCAAATTTTTAAAGATCTGCAATATATGTACACAGAAGACATAGACATTCATGGCTTTGCAAAATCTACCTTGGATTCGAATACCTTCAACATATATTAAAGGTTTCTTTTCTTTCCGGCTACGATTCAGTAATAATAGCATGTAGCATATGCTTTAATAATCCCATGTTTCATATAAATAAACTTTACTAATGACATATAAATAAATGGCACACTACTCGAAAGATGAATATCTTTCATAGAGGATTTAAACTACACGGTATATAAATTTCAATATTAAAATCAGTAGAAGTCCAAGCCACCACCTCACATCTCAAGCCCCTCTCCTTACTACTATTACGAACCATTCAACCACAATATGCAGCAAGAGTTCGGCGATCGTAAAATTTCGTTGGATGGCATTTTCGCTGTCGGTGCAGTTTTGTTTTTCCACTTCTGACAGGATCTTGGATCATATCTTTACTGCTGGCTTTAGCTACTAGGAGCTCTTACCAGTATATTATAATTTTACCATAGGCCATAAAGTTAAAAATTTGAGAGGTGTATTTAAAATACACCGCGCCCGAAGGCGAGATCAATAAATGAGAGAACTCATAAAATAAGTTTTGCTAAATTGCATATCATGGCATAGCATGGGTGATTATATACGTAAATGGGGGCGAGAAGCGAAAAGAAAGTCTAAGCTTCTGCGTGAGTCAAGAAGAGCAGGAACACGTGATCAGCGTCCGGTATTTAGATTGGTCGAGGAGTCAGAGTTCGAAAAATGAAGTTTTTGTAGTTTTTGGCAATAAATAAAGTTCGAACATAGTAAAAGCAACATCTATTTGTGAATTTAAGAGTCTAATGTCTTTTGAAACACTTGAAAATCTTCTAAACTTGCGATATAATCATTAAATGAATAGGAAACTGTAAAAGGCGAAAATGAGGTCATGTAGCTCACTAGGGCTAATGCAAGGAGGTTAGAATAGAAGCAGGGAGGGTTCGCAGTTTCCTCCACTATCGGGGAATGAAACTCCACGGAACAAGCGGCGTCCATGTTTGTTACTTCAAAACATTGCAATACGGTAGTGAAACGTACGTGTTTGTAAGCTGTTCTATGCATGCATTTTCCAGTAAAAATATGTTAAATTTATAATGAAATGCTTCGCTATTGTTAGTTTTTTGTTTTAAAGTTATAAAGATGATATCTGTAATTTACTAAGTACAGAAAATCATTAAGAAATATTTCGAAATCTAAATGCATGTGCATAACATTAAAGCCTTTAAAAATTATGATTCTGCATAATTTCAAGAATTTGTTTAGGTTTTATTAGCAACTTCTCGAGTATTATACTTTCCAATTGTTTCTTTAAGAAGTGATATTTCTGATTTATTCGCAATATTATTATAATTTATTAAAGAATCATTTTTACCTGAAATTAATAACAGATAATTATCTAAAAAAAATGGTAACATGTTGCTTTTCTTTTAAATGAAAGTTTTAAATCGATTCTTTTCACAACCAATAATCAACAAGAAAATAAATATTAATAAAATAAAACAGATTTATGTGAATTCAATGATTTCAGTTTATGCGCGTTTCATATTTATGAATCTCAAAGAAATTACCTTGAATTAAGCTGAATTACAGAAATATACCTATATAAATTTTTGGATATATCTTTTCACATGTTCAATTGTGTAAATATTTTACTTACATTTATCGCTATACTGCCGAAAAATTTGTAAGCTTATGCAAAAATATTTTAACAACAGAACAGTTTATCTTGATCAAATGCACAAATTATACCCGTAACAGTTCACAAAACTTAAGAATGAATAGTAATTAATACATAAAGAAAAGCATTGCTTTATTTAACACCTTCACAATTCATAAAAATAGTAACAATTGATTTCTTACTTTTCATGAAATTATAAAACGAATTATCTAAGCGTTCAAGTTATACAGTTTAAATCCTAGCATATATCATTGTATGTTAAGGAACGAAGATACCAGCTGTAAGCAAAAACATTAAAATGTATGTAACATGTTTCGATTATTATTAAGTTATTTTTGTCACATCTGGAAAGAAAACAACATGACATTGTTATATTTTTTAACATATTTATAAAATTACATCAAAAAAAGAAAATCAATACTTACGTGTGAACAGTAATCCCAGGAATATTTTTCAAAAATATTTGTGCATCCAATCAAAGCACATGCTTCAAAAAAAAGGAAAAAATGTTACATTACAGACTTCTTGCAATCACAGCGATAACTAACATGGCCGTCAGCTTCACCGTTTAGTAATTCCCTTTATATTCTAACCTCCTTGGGCTAATGAGTGAGAGTAAGCACTTGGTGTTACCACGAACTTTGATTTTAAAACACACGATACGAAATAGTAAAAATAAAAAGTAAAAATCTTGGTTAAATAAGTAGTAAAACGAAGAATTCATCGATGAAAAATAAAGTCCTAATTTTGCAAAGTTCATCTTTCTTGAATAGTAACTGCAAAGGAATAGTAATTTTTTTTTTTTTTAACATTATATACACTACCACCACTTAGAATTGTGGTGGATCGTTCGAGGTCTTTTCACTACGTTCTCAATAGTAGGGTCATAGTCTGTAAGCGATTTAATAGCTTCATAGGGAGAATTTCTCATATCTTCAAAGAAGTTGTGTGCAGAAATTAGGATTTGGTCGTGAATTGGATTGATATCCAGGTCTTTGTGAATTTGAGAATTTCGCACGAACCAGGGTGCGTTCACTATGCTACGTAAGATTTTGTTTTGAAGTACATTTAATTTTTGTCTGTCTATTTTTCGGGCAGTAGCCCAGGCTGGAACTGCATAGAGGATTATTGGTCGAATAAGTGAGATGTAGATATTTTTCTTGGTACGGAGGTTTAACTTAGAGTTTCTTCCAATTAATGAGTAGAGAGCAATGAAAGCAGCGTTAGCCTTATTTGTAACATATTGAATATGATCTTTGAAATTTAGGGTTTTGTCAATATAGACACCTAAATATTTATAGGAGTTGGCAACAGGAATATCTTGGTTATTGAGTCGGATATTTATATTCACTGGGATATTTTTTCTGTATCTGCGAAAGAGAACTACGCAGCATTTATCAGTATTTAGTTTGATTTTCCAGTCTTGACAAAATTTGTTAATAATGTTGACTTGGAGCTGAAGTTTCTCTAAAGCATTATTTGGACTTCGTGAACTGGTGAGGATGACTGTGTCGTCGGCATATTTGAGTATATTAGAATGAAAAGGTAGAGGCATATCATTTATGAATATTGTAAAAAGCTTCGGTCCTAAAACACTGCCTTGAGCTACTCCACTGTAAATCACTTTTTTTGAAGAGATTGCTTCACCACAGCGCACTTGAAAAGTACGATGTTTAAAATAAGAATGCATAAGCTTAATAAAGCTGTTTGGTAAAAGGAAGTTAGATAGCTTATGAAGTAAGCCAGCATGCCACACTCGATCGAAAGCTTTTTCGAAATCGAGGAAGCATGCCGCTACTCCGTTCTTTTTTGTAAATTCTTGGGCAATAAATTCAACTAAATTTAATATTTGATGTGTGGTATTGTGGCCTTTGCGGAATCCAAATTGATGCTTGTCTATTAGATTAAGGCGTTCTAGATGATTGGTGAGCCGAGCACTAAGTACTCGTTCGAAAACTTTTCCAAGCGCTGGCAGAAGACTGATGGGTCTGTAATTTTTTGCTAGCTTTGGATCTTTTCCTGGTTTCGGGATCGTAACAATGATCGAATGTTTCCACTGCGATGGAAAGTAGCTGAGTCTAATACAAGCATTAAAAATATTTGTAATTAAGACTATGCATCTTCTAGGTAAAGCTTGCAACGCTTCATTAGAAATCATGTCATATCCTTTAGCTTTGCGCTTCTTTAATTTTTTAATAATTTGCTGAACTTCGTTTGGAGATGCAGGCGTAAAAAAATTAATGCTGGGACTGTTGAGGATGCTATTGACAGAGTAATTAATATCTTTTTCGTGATCAGAATTTTTATTTTCATGTTGTTTAAAAATGTTTTTCTAATTCTTTTGCATGAATTTCAGCAATGGAGTCTTCGGAGTGGTGAATTTTGCCCATGTGATACAGGGGGTGAATTTGATTGGGTGAAAGATTTCTGAGTGATTTAGCTACTTTCCAAACAGAGTTTGGGTAAAGATCCATGTTTTCTAGGAAATTATCCCACGAATTTGATCGATGGGTGGCGATGTCTTCTTTTATTTTTCTGTTTAAATAATTAATATGACGTTTTTCAGTAGGATTGCGAGTAATATGCCATCTTTTTCTAAGTCTATTTCTTTCTTGTATAAGGGATTTAATTTCTTCTGGGATGCCATAGGGATTTTTATTCTTGACTGTATAGGTAGCATTATTGATAGCGTTTTGAATTTTGGAGTTTTAATCTGGTGATCTCGACGAAGACACAGACAAATACATGTCTTTTTGCACCCGCTAAGTCTTTCTGCACCGATGGCGAAAAATCAAGCATGGGTGCGAAGGAAGGATAGAAAGAGGGGCTTCGTTTTGAGGAGAGTAAAAAGGAACTTCGTACATCTTGTACAGTTCAAAAGGCCAAGAAGAAAAGATGGGACAAAATAGAATTTAAAAATAAATGGCCCAAAAATAATAGGGAAAAAGGGGGGGCTATAGAAAGAAAAGGAAAAGAAGTAGAAAATATTTCTAAATACGATTGTGTCCATGAGTGTAGTTAAAAGGAGAAAGAAACTGTCTTCATTTACAATAAATAGTGTCTCACAGGTGTGTTTGTGTAGTGAGTGTGTTTGGTAATGGTGAATAGATGTGTTACTGGGGAAAAAAACAAATTTGACGGTGTTAAAATGCTTCGTATCAAGGTATTTAGCATGGGAATATAAAGTAATATGTACGCTTGCATCCGGAGATATCAACAAAGGTCATCAACAAAAGTATATATTAATTTAACCAAAGTAACTTGCTACTTTCATTCTCAACATTTCATACATTTTTTCAAAAGCAGCAGCAGACTAACAACATAGAACCATATACAATACAAGACCACAACGCATACACCCAAAAAAAAAAAATAAATAATAAATAAATAAATAAAATATATTTATATTTATTTATGTGTGTAAATTACTGAGTATATGTATTAAAAACACAAATTAAACTGTATTTATTAATTTAACTATCATAATTTATTACAAGATTAATTATTTTACTATCATAATTTATTACTAGTTAAATAAAGTTAATATAACACAATGAGGCACACTGTTATTTATATAAGCTCATAGTTCTAAAATCATTTAAGGCGGTGAAGAATAAACCATCCCTTACATATGGACATTTAACAGATAGCAAAGAACAGTATGAGAAAAAATCGGTGAGGTATAATATTTTTAAAGGCGAAACTATATTCAAGCGATCTCTAAAGAAAAGAGAATCCAGAAGATCCGAGAGGGAAATAGCGTGATGCCCAAATTATCCCTCTCATCCCCAAATTTTTCCTCTCTCGAGATTCCTTAAGGCTTGTAAGTGTTGACAGACGTGAACTGATAACGCTGGCGTCTGTTTCGAGTTGATACACAAAGGAAGCCACAAGCAATGGCATTTCAAGTCTTTTTTTAATGCTTTAAACTGATAAAATTAAGATTTTATTGATTAAAGGCACTTATTTATAGAATTTGATTTAGTTTGATGAAAGAAAGTACTTATCTTAAAATTCCAGGCTTTTGGAGTATATCCTTACATTGTCCGCTGTTTTATTCTCGTCAACATCGGAGCCGAAATTCATTGAAATGATATAGGTTTTGTAGGGGAAAA